TTGCTTTCCAGTCAAAGTAGGGCAACTGGATCTGAATTCATTGAACATTCTTTTCTTCAGAGCATCTAGAAGTTTTGTACTTGCTCGTCAACCAGAGTAAATGCCTGGTCAAAATTTTGTAACATTGAGTGTATTCGACATTTTGACTATTTGGGAATTCAGATACACCACATAACGGTTCTTATTTTGTGTGCTTTACAATCCATCCTAGTCAAGCAGATTTAATTTAGACTGTTTTTTAAGTTACTTTTGAATATATTCTAACAGAACATCCTGGCTGTGTCTAGACTGGCATGATTTAGCGGAAATACTTTTAACGGAAAAGTTTTTCTGTTAAAAGTATTTCCTCAAAAGAGCTTCTAGATTGGCACGGATGTTTTTGCGCAAAAAGTACTTTTGCGCAAAAGCATCCGTGCCCAGTATAGATGCGCTTTTGCGCAAGAAAGGTCCGATGGCCATTTTAGCCATATGGCTTTCTTGCGCAAAAAATTAAGGTGCCTGTCTACACTGGCCCTCTTGCGCAAGTATTCTTGCACAAGAGGGCTTATCCCTGAGTGGGAGTGTCAAAGTATTTGTGCAAGAAGCACTGAATTCTTACAGTAGAACATCAGTGTTCTTGCACAAATTCAAGCGGCCAGTGTAGACAGCTGGCCAGTGTAGACAGCTGGCAAGTTTTTGCGCAAAAGCAATTGCTTTTGCGCAAAATCTTGCCAGTCTAGATGCACCCCATGTGTGTATTTTATTCAGAAACCAGTTCTTGGCATTTCTTTCCATCCACCTTCCTGAACAGCACTAACTATTCAAATTCATATTTATTATTGTCCGCTCCCAAAATGCCAACATCAGATAAAGAATGACCAGAACAGAAACAAAAGTCTTCCACCATAGAAGTCTAGAGTCTTGTGTTGACAAAGACATGATATCAGAAATTCCTGAATCTGAACAACAGAAATGATATAACCTCCCATCTAATTTTGCAAAGCAGATGCAATTATAGCTTTTACTGTGCTTGGATAAACAGATATACCACTGTATTAAGTTCTACTGATATAATACTGAGAGGCTGTGCCCCCTGATTGCTACGCTCACCAGCCCCCCTCTCACCCCTCCTCCACCGGGCCCGCCCTAGCTCTTTCTTTCCTCCCTACCCAGGGAGGGCCCAGGGCTGACCCTGCCCTGCCCTTGCTCCCCTGCCGCTGGGAAAGGCCAGACTGTCCCCCCAGTCCAGGGGATGTGTGAGGGGGCTGGTGTGCGGGGTCTTGGCTGAGAGTGTGTGTGAGGGGTTGAGAAGTGGGGAGCAAGGAAGGGCATGGCTCCCGCCCACCTGGAGCACTCATGTGGAGGAAAGGGAGAGACTGCCCAGCTCCTGAGGCCATGTGGTGGCTCATGACTTCTGCTCTCCCACCCCCAAGCACCAGGAAGGGGGGCAGGGAGAGGCTGTGAAGCAGCTCATAGCTCCTCCTCCTCCCCCTCCCCCGCCATTTGGAGCATGGGGAAGGAAGGCTGGAGCAATGTGCTGCTCCAGCCTCACACTTACTTGGAGGGTCATGGGGAGGGGGGGGTGCATTAGCACCCTTCACATCCCCCATGCGTATAGGCCTGGAGGCACTGCAGACGGTAGGACTGTAGGCGAAGACGCCAGTCAGTGGGGAAGCCTGATAGTGGAGCTGGTATCATGGAAAGAGGCCATTTCCAGGAGGGGGAGGGGATTGTTTTGGGCTTGGAGTTCGGAGCATGGCAACACAGAGTGATGTAATGATGTCACTGTGTTGTCCCACAGGAAATGTTTTTTTTTATTTGTAGAGAGATTATCCCAGGACTGTTATTCTATATGTCACTCTGAAGCCTAGGATGTCTTTTAGGTCAGTGTGACACAATTGGAAACCCTTATAATCTTGGTTGAAATCTCTTTTTGTTCAGAATACCACCACGTTCAATCATCACTGAGGCTCATTGTCTGTTACCATCCAATTTTTAAATTCTCATGCATTTGTACTTTACAGATTACACTTATGCAGTGTAAAGTTAGGCAAATATCCAGGCCATGCCAAGATTTCCCAGATTAGTTTACCGGGGAAATCCTTGGTGAGCTTAAACACAAAAAGGAAACTTACAAGAAGTGGAAACTTGGACAGATGACTAGGAAGGAGTATAAATATATTGCTCGAGAATGCAGGAGAGTTATCAGGAAGGTGAAAGCACAATTGGAATTGCAGCTAGCAAGGGATGTGAAAGGTAACAAGAAAGCTTTCTACAAGCATGTTAGCAATAAGAGGATAATCAGACAGGGTGTGGGGCCCTTACTGGATGAGGGAGGTAACCTAGTGACAGATGATGTGGGAAAAGCTGAAGTACTCTGCTTTCTTTGCCTCTGTCTTCACGGACAAGGTCAGCTCCCAGACAAATGCACTAGGCAACGCAGCATGGGAAGGAGGTGGACAGCTCTTGGTGGAGAAAGAACAAGTTAGGAACTATTTAGAAAAGCTAGACATACACAAATCCGTGGGTCCAGATTTAATGCATTCGAGGGTTCTGAGGGAGTTGGCAAATGTCATTGTGGAGCCTTTGGCCATTATCTTTGAAGACTCATGGAGATCAGGAGAGATCCCGGAAAATTGGAAAAAGGCAAATGTAGTGCCCATCTTTAAAAAAGGGAAGATGGACAATCCAGGGAACTACAGACCAGTCAGCCTTACCTCAGTCCCCGGAAAAATCATGGAGGGGATCCTCGAGGAATCCATTTTGAGGCACTTGGAAAAGGGAAAATGATCAGGAATAGTCAACATGGAGTCACGAAGGGCAAGTCATGCCTGACCAATCTGATTAGCTTCTATAATGAGGTAACTGGCTCTGCAGATGTGGGAAAGTCAGTGGATGTGATATACCTTGACTTCAGCAAACCTTTTGATACTGTCTCCCACAATGTTCTTGCCAGCAAGTTAAGGAAGTATAGATTGGATAAATAGACTGTAAGATGGATAGAAAGCTGACTAGACTGTCGGGCCCAATGGGTAGTGATCAATGGCTCGATGTCAGGTTGGCAGTCGGTTTCTATTGGAGTTCCCCAAGGATCAGTTCTAGGGCCAGTTTTGTTCAACATTTTTATTAATGACCTAGATGAGGGGATGGATTGCACCCTCAGCAAGTTTGCAGATGACATTGAGCTAGAGGAGAGGTAGATACGGTAGAAAGCAGGGATAGGGTCCAGAGTGAAGTAAACAGATGATTGGGCCACAAGAAATCTGATGAGGTTCAACAAGGACAAGTGTAGCGTTCTGCACTTGGGATGGAAGAATCCCAAACACTGTTACAGAATGGGGACCGACTGGCTAAGTAGCAGTTCTGCAGAAAAGGATCTGGGGATTACAGCAGATGAGAATCTGGACATGAGTCAACAGTGTGCCTTTGTAGCCAAGAAGGCTAATGGCATATTAGGATGCATTCGGAGGAGCATTGCCAGCAGATCTAGAGAAGTGATTATTCCCCTTTATTCGGCTCTGGTGAGGCCACATCTGGAGTATTGTGTACAGTTCTGGGCTCCCCACTATAGAAAGGATGTGGACGCATTGGAGAGGGTTCAGCGGAGGGTGACCAAAATTATTAGGGGGCAGGAGCACATGACCTATGAGGAGAGACTGAGGGATTTGGGTTTGTTAGTCTGCAGAAGAGAAGAGTGAGGCGGGGATTTGATAGCAGCCTTCAATTTCCCAAAGGGAGGTTCCAAAGAGGATGGAGAGAGGCTGTTCATAATAGTGACGGATGGCAGAACAAGGAGCAATGGTCTCAAGTTACAGTGGGAGAGGTCTAGGTCGGACATTAGGGAAAACTATTTCACTAGGAGGCTGGTGAAGTACTGGAATGGGTTACCTAGGGAGGTGCTGGAATCTCCATCCCTGGAGGTTTTTAATTCTTGGTTTGACAGAGCCCTGGCTGGATTGATTTAGTTGGGATTGGTTCTGCCTTGGGCAGGGGGCTGGATTTGATGACCTCCTGAGGTTTATTCCAGCTCTGTGCTTCTAAGGGTGTGTCTAGACTACACCTCTCTGTCGACAGAGAGATGTAGATTTGGCACATCAAAATTGCTAATGAAGCAGGGATTTAAATATCCCGTGCTTCACTAGCATAAACATGGCCGCCACTTTTTTCCAACACGGAGCATTTTTGGAAGAAAACAAAGGCAGTCTAGACGCAGATCTGTCAAAAATAAACCCTTTTTTGACAGATCCTGTAAGCCTCATAAGCTAAATAATTACAATTGTTCATTCTGCAGTGATTTCAAACACTGTGTTGATGAAGACTAGGCTTGATTGTATTTGGTATTCTTATTTCAATCTTTCAATAGTAACAATATGTTAGGAAATTGTGATAATATCATTCTCCCTCAGTTTTGGCAATAATAATTTAACTGTAAGGTCAAAGAACAGTGAGATAATTGAATTATTACCACCAAACCCAGAAGGGCAATACTATTATTGGTATTATAAGTCTGAACAATACCAGCTCAAGCCATCTTTTAATTCTTAAAAAAAGCCAAAAACTTACCCTCCCACTGCTATCCAACCATTCAGCATTCACACAGCTGTGTTTTAAAGACAGTCTCCAGTCCTCAAAGAGATTTCTTGAATGCCTTCTAATGCCTGCCCTCTCTAAAGCTGACAGATCCTCTCTAGTGCTTCTGAATTGACAGTTCTGCTCCTGCAACGTCCATGTTGTGATTGTAGTTGTGCTAATGGGCATGTTCAGAAAGCAATGATGTTACACAAGCCCTGGACTTGCCACAGAATAAACCTACTGCTCCCTTGCCTCCTCCTTGGGGTCACTTGTATAATAACACAATATTTTCAGTTAAAGTTTAATTCTAACCATTTCTGGATTAGAGGCAAAGTGAGTGTTTTGTATGTAAATTACTGCATTTATGGTTTTACCTTAATTTGTATTGAGGAAATGTCTTTACATGTGTCCAAGATTTTGAACTTACTGTCTGTTGTGACACTAACCAGGGCTCTCAAGGAGATCAGAGAAATGACCATTCAGCCCCTGAACGCACTGGCTCACAAATTGAAGAGGAGGCACGGATTGAACCCATGAAGAAATTTCAACATCGTTCATCTTCCTCAGCCCAGCACCATAACCATCGCAGTGGTGTTAGCCGAGGCCTGTCTAGGCAAGAAACATTTGACTCAGAACCCCAAGACAGCAGAGATTCAGCTTACACAGAACCAAAGGAAGAATACTTACATGAGCATGGTGACCACAATGATTCTCACAGGGATCACAGTCATAGAGATGAGTCACATGGGAGCAGTGATCACAGACATAGGGAATCAAGGCATCGCTCAAAGGAAAGGGACCGAGAGCAGGACCACAACGAATGCAACAAACAACGCAGTCGTCATAAATCAAGGGACCAATATTGTGACAAGGATGGAGAAATGATATCTAGAAAACGCAATGACACAGGAGACTGGAACAGGGATGTATACATCCGCCAATAACTTTTGCCTCAGCCAGTCTTGTGTTTCTTTAAGTCTTGTATAACGACACCCCTTGAAAATATCTTTGGGTTCTACATTGCAGAACATATGGTATCCTTCTGATCCTTCTGTATGCTGATTTGTATTGCTGTTGCTTGCATAGCAATAGCATGAAATAGAATATTCATATACTTATTTTTGATTAGTGCTATATAAATTGGCGTAGTACAACTGCAGAGCTTCTGATGTTGTACTGTGCTTTTTTCAAGCTGTTTTTGATAGCAGCCATTTGAACAATATCTGTTGCCATCAAGGTGATGTTAGTGTTTTAAAACAAGGTACAGTTGATGTTTAATAACCTCCCGTGTATTCAGCCAGCCAGAATCAGCACATACAAAACTGAAACTCATCTGTTTTGATTTTTAATTTGTATGCACTTGATTTGCATATTGGTTTAAGAGCCACTATCTGTTGCTTGTACCTCTAGTGGACTCCATTTGGGGGACAAAATTCAGTTTTGCCTTACACACAGGGAATCATAAAGTCAAAATCTATTTTCTATGTACTGGTACTGTGTACTGTATATACAGTTTATAAATGTTATTTCTGCAGACACCTTCTTACTATATAAGTTTGACCACACTGTTTTAGAGTCCTAATGCCAAGTCAGCAGATTAGCTTTTGAATTACTAGCAACTGGAACTAGCCTCATTCAGGAAATTTGTAAGAGTGTCTAATACAGAAATTTTTTTCTTCTGTAGCAGAAAGTTTATACTTACTGTAAATATGAATGAATGCTTGAGATAAAAGGTTTGATTCCTGTATTTTATGCTGTCCTTGCAAACTTACAATTTTGTGTTTTAAATTGATAACTAACCTAGCACTATAAATTGTTCTATACCCACACAAATTGTAATGGACACACTCTTAATTTTTGTTTTCTTTGTCAAAATAAGGTGATGCAAGCATGCATAACAGGGAGAGAGTATGAGCGTGTGAGAGAGCGACAGCAGAAGTTCAGCATGTAGAAGACCTAATGAAGAAATACTCAAAAACTGAAGCAGTCAGTTTATTCTATTGTTTTCAAAATCTGAATTGTAGTCAGGGAACATGAGGCAGTTTACGGTTACAGGTAATTAAGAAAGCATAAATCCGCTGGCTCTCAAGACTCCAGGAGAGTAAAAACACAGGCAAATGTTACTGTAAGTGTTTCACTGGAAATGTAAAATCTTTGTGTTTTAGAGTATTTGTTTTAGTAAGAAAAGTTTACACAGCTTGTGGAGAGTTATTTTGTTGGAAAATAAATTTTTTGTAGCTTCTCCACTTTTTTTCTACACTTGCCACACAGTCTGCAGTCCCACTTTGCAGCCATGTCTCCAAGTCTGTCCTCATTCTTCAGCTAAAGCTTTGTCTGCCAATAAGCCCAGAAGGAGGATTGTTATAACTAAAGGTTCCCTCTATCATGAACTCACTACAAAAATGTATTGTAATCAAATGGAGTGGTATGTTGTGCATCAAGTACCCGTTGTACCAATAAGTGGGACACCGTGTATTACTTTTTGGTTTTAGATTCCATGCCCCTGCCTAGATTAAATTCTCACCTGCGCCTACTGCAGCACAGGAGCACACAAAATCTACTAGCCTGGGTCCCAGTGGGACCTGGTGTCTGAGGGGGATGTGGAGATTGTGTTTCTCCTTCTCAGTCAGGGGCCACATGAGTGAGGGTTTTGTTTATATACTTGGCGTCTCACTTGTGTGCACCCCCGACTGATTTTTCTGTGGGTCAGCAGCCCCCGGCCCAAAAAAGGTTCCCTTTTCCAGTATAAAGAAAAGAGAATGGGGGTCACATTCATTTATAACTGTGCACATTTGTGCAATTTATATATTTTCTAGCAAAAAGGTGGATATTGGAATTATTGGAGCTCTGGTATTTTATATTATTACAGTGAAATGTATAAGAAATACATGAGATTCATGTTTAAAAATCCATTCCTTTATTCCATGGTCCAGATAATTCTGTTTCCACACGTTGGGAGATATTTTTCCTCTAAAAGAAGCTTTGGAGCATTTTTCTTAATAAATAGAGGTGAATTTTTGCTGTCTGTTATCTAATCATAACTCCTGTTGCTGTCACTTGTGAGCATCCAAGAACAATGTCTGACTGGGGGGGCTACGTCTACATTGTGCATTCTTACACAAGAAGATGTGCAAATGAGGCATGGTGATGAATATCGCCGTGCCTCATTTGCATACCTAATGAGCTGCCATTTTTGCGCAAGGGGCTTCTTGCGCAAAAGCCCCTTGCACAAAAATGACAGCTCATTAAGTATGCAAATGAGGCACGGCGGTGCGCAATGTAGACGTAGCCAAAGTGTATACTGGGGGAGAAGATGGCAAGGATGTCTTTCTAGAATCAAAGTTCTAAGTGTTTGTAGACACTTTAACTGCCTTTCCAGCAAAAGGAAGCTAATTTGTTTCTACGCTCCTAACGAGCTATTTTCCCAGATTCAAGTTACGGAACTGTGGATGATAATTCTCTTAACTGCTCCAACTATTATGTGGGGCTACATCTACACTGCAGCGCTATTTTGGGATTCAAAAGTATCCTGAAATAGCTATTCCACGTCTTTTGAGCATGCCCATTATTTTGAAATATAACAGGCTCGCTATGCCAACATCCCTGTAAACCTCTTTCCATGAGGAGTAAGGGATGTTTCGGAATAGCGATTTATTTTGAAATAAGTGCTGTATAGACAGCGTCAGATTTCGAAATAAAATATGCAATTTGCGTAGCTCAAATTGTGTATCTTATTTCAAACTACAGTGTAGTGTGGGCACGTCTATACAGCAGGGCTAAAAACAAAATAAGCAACACAACTTGAGTTACTTCAATTGTGTAGCTTAAGTTGAAATAGCTTATTTTGGCTTTTGGCGTTGTCTACACAGCAGGAAGGCCAAGAAAGAGCACTCTTCCTCCAGCTTCCCTTACTCCTCATCAACTGAGGGTTACAGTTCAGTGAGATGTGCTGCTTTGTGTTGCATGTACCAGTGCTTAAACTTTATTCTATCAATTTCATTTTCTTATTGTCCTGTGCATGACATTCTCTCTCAATTAAAGTGAAGAGCTAGTTGTAGTACTGCTTTATCAATGTCCCTTTTGCAATACAATCTGCTTGCTATGCTTTGTTGTGGAAAAGCACTTGGCACTTAGAAGTTTTAACCAGCATGTTTTAAAATACTTTAACCGGAGGATATATGAAAGGCTACGGTAATGAAGTACCTTTTCCTCGATAGGTAGCCACTAGGAAAAGTTGACAATACTGTGTTTGTACTGTGATGGTGCTAGATTTCCCAGTCTTCATCAGGCCCCTTGTGATGCATAAAAAACAGTTGCCCTACCTTGTCAAGCTGAAAAGATACAGATAGGAAAAATGATAAAAAATGAAGGAATCTGTCCAGGAGCGGTGATCTTGCTAGTTCCATATTTTTTTGCCTTCAGGACCATCAGCATAAGAGTGGTGAAGGAAGAGGGCTGCAATTCAATATTTATAATATAGAGGCACATTTTATTCTATCCTTCTTTGCACATCTTTTTAAATTAGTACACAGTGGTGCTAGCCAACAACCCACTTCAACCTAACCTTTACCAGTTCAGTTTCTTGTAGACACCATGGAAGAAGGCACACTTGAGAAGTGATTTGAAGGTGAATGAGTAGTACCCTCCAGGGAGGTTAGGACAATGTATAAGAGAGGAAAGATATGTATTCAGGAGGCTAGCAGTTAGGCTAGGGGTGGGAGATGATGGAATGACAGGAGATAAAATATCATTTTGCAGACCATCAAACAACAGACTAATTCTTATCCAGGAAAATAATGTAAATAAAACATCACACAGGTCACATACTCCATCCTAAGGCTCTAACAGATTCATATACTGTCTCTGGAGTTTGGATGAGAAGCTTTATATATATGTTTGTGTTTATCAAACTATATTATGTAACTACACAGTTTCAGCTTCTTCATTTGGCCCTATTTAACCAAAGCAAGCTGTGGCAGTGGCTTACACCCTGAGATGTAGAACAATTTGCAAAATGTCATGTGAGAAACTCACTTCGTCCACACAACCAGTGTGTTGGTTTTTTTTTTTGTTTTTTTTTGTAGGTAGATCATGAGATGAAATCCTCTTCCCTCCCCCAAACTAGGGTCAAAGTGTAGAGCTGTTAGCTCTTCCTTTCCCCTCCCATGTAGCTGCTCATCTATAAACCATGTGCATCCCATACGTGGGGCTCTAATAGTTTCAATCCTACTCATCACCCTGTTCAACAGCTGCAAGACTGGAGGGATTTTGCTGCTAATCATTTATAAGCTTTGCTAGTCACTGAAAGCCAATTTCAGAACATGCTACTCACGCTCATTAACCAAACTTTAAATCAATAGATAATCTGATTTCACTTTAAATGCAATTTTCTGCTAACATTGTTTATTTCTAAGTATTAAATAATTTGCCATAATGTCTGTCTCCCATCTCATCTTTCAGGAAGCAATGTCCTCTAATTTTCCATTTTCTGTAAGTTCTCAGATACCTTTTTGCCATTTCTTATTGTGGTCTGTCCCCCACAGTAATTTAGAATGATTGTATTATTTCTAAGATACATGTTGCCATATTCCTCTGAATCCTTTACAACCTTCACTTTGCTCCATTCCCTCCCACCAGGAGAAAAGCACAAGGTAAGCAGCTCTACAAAATTAAGGACTGGAGAAGTTCCTTTACACACAATGTGAAGTAACAGTCTTACTTAACATGAAAAAGGCCATGGTAGGTCAGACCAAAGGCTCATCTACCCAGTGTCCTGCCCAGTGTTCTCTCTAAGCTACCTGGCAGTACAACTTCACAGGTGATTAATTAGCCCCACCCAGTCAGAGACTCAGGGCTCTGTGCAGGGAGTTCACTGATTGGGCAGAGCTGATAAATCACCTGTGAAGCTGTGCTGCCAGGTAGCTTAGAGGGAACACTGATCATCCCTTATGACAGTCACCAATGCCAGGTGCCCCAAAGGGAATGAACAGAAGAGGTAATTATCAAATAATCTCCCCTCTGTCATCCATTCCCAGCTTCAGACAAATGGTAGCTACAGCCACCATTCCTACCCATCCTGGCTAATAGAAATTGATAGACCTAACCTCCATGAATTAACCTCTTTTTTGAACCCTGGTAAGTCCTGGTCTTCACAACATCCTCTGGCAAGGAGTTCCACAGGTTGACTGTGCATTGTGTGAATAAATGCCTCCTTTTGTTTTAAATCTGCTACCTATTTATTTCATTTGGTGACCTCTAGTTATGGGAGCAAGTAATTTTTTCTCATCTATTTTCTCTACACTGGAATGATTTTATCCTTTCTCCCCTGTAGTCTTCTCTTTTCTAAGTTGAAAAGTCCCAGTTTTATTAACATCTTCTAATATGGTCATCATTCTTTACCCCCAATCATTTTTGTTGCCCTTTTTTGAACTTTTTCCAATGTCAAGATGTCTTTTTTGAGATGAGGCAACCAATTTTCATGCAGAATTTAAGACCGACATTCAAGGCATACCATGGATTTATGTAGAGGCAGTAAAATACTTTCTGTTTTATTCTCTATCCCTTTTTTTATTATTCCCAACATTGGTGTGTTTTTTAAATTTTTATTGCTACTGCACATTGAGTGGCTATTTTCAAAAAACTATCCACAATAACTCAAGGATCTCTCTGTCTCTCGAGCAGTAAAAGCTATTTTAGTCACTACTATTTTGTGTGTGTACAATCCAGATCTATTTATCAACATTAAAATTCATAGTTGCCCAATCACTTAGTTATGTGAGAGCTATTTGAAGCTCTTCAGTCTGCTTTGGTCTTAACTCTCTTGAGCAGTTTAGTATCATCTGCAAGGTTTGCCACCTCATTGTTTACCCCATTCTCCAGATCATTTATGAATATGTTGAATAGGATTGGTCTCAGTACAGACCTCTGTGGGACACCACTAGTTACCCTCTCTCCATTCTGAGAGCTAACTATTCCTACCCTTTATTTCCTATCCTATAACAAGTTATCAATCCAAGACAGGACCATTCCTCTTATCCCATGACAGCTTACTTTGCTTAAGAGTCTTTGGTGAGGGACCTTGTCAAAGGCTTTCCGGAAATCTAAATACTCTATAACCACTGGCTTTTCTTTCCCACATGCTTGTTGACTCCCTCCCCCCCCCCCAAAAAAAATGATTAGTGAAGCATGATTTCCCTTTACAGAAACCATGTAGACCTTTCCTCAATGAATTATGTTCATCTGTGTTTGACAATTCTGTTCTTTACTATAGTTTCAACACATTTCCCCGTTACTGAAGCTAGACTTACCAATCTGCAATTGCCAGGATAACCTGTAGAGCAGGGCTACTCAACACATGGCCCACGGCCCACAGCCTATTTGTTTGCAGCCCACAGTGTGGTTTGGGTTTACACAGGACTCAACACGCGACCCATGGGTGGGATCCTTTGAACATAGCCTCCACCAGGAACACACTCCACAATGGCGAGTCAATATAATGGTCTTTTGTTGATATGCGGTTTTAGTAGTTAAATTCCTGGACTCCCATTGCTCATTAAAAGTGCTGTCATATGTGTGGAAATCAGGTAAATGTTGCATTTTATTAATATCAGCGGAACTGACTTAAATTGGACCTGCTGTTCTGCAGTCTTGCCTTAATCTTTGTATTCATGCCCATAAGTGTGAAAGAAGCTATTTGCATATATATTTGTATGTATATGCAATCACACTTAAGTTGAGGCCCTCAGCACTTGCTAAGAATATCATTGTGGCCCCTGGGGCTTTCAAAGTTGAGTAGCCATGCTGTAGAGCCCTTTTTGAAAATTAGTGTCACATTAGCTATCATCTAGTCATTTGGTACAGAAGCAGATTTAAAGGCTAGGTTACAAACTAGTTAGAAGTTCTGCAACTTCATATTTGAATTCCTTCAGAACTTTTGGGTGAATGCCATCTGGACCTGGTGACTTGTTACTATTTAGTTCAACAATTTGTTCCAGAACCTCTTCTAATGACACCTCAGTCTGGGATAAGTCCTTAGATTTGTAACCTAAAAAGAATGGCTCGGGTTCGGGAATCTCCCTAACATCCTCAGCTGTGCAGACCAATGCAAAGAATATATTTACTTTCTCTGCAATGAGCTTATTGTC